TGAACAATAAATTTCCTATGAACAAACCGCGTGATCAGCCCAGCCTTCATGTACTCTGGTTTGAAGAGACAACTCTGAATGGAAGAAATGCGTTCAATACTATCCAACAATAGTGTATTACTTGAATCAAATATCTCACTCATATCAAAGGGGTGTTGCACAATATAAAACAACAGATTCTTCAGGGACGGTTATACTCTTTCAAAAAAATGTTCCTGCATACTATTTTAGAATTAAAAACGCACATTCTTCCATAATATTTTTCAAGAGGAGAACTGCCTACATCAAAGGATGTTATTCTCAAAATATGTTTCGCTGTTTGGGAAAAATATCATTTTGTATTCATGGAACCCACTAAAGATTTCAGAACTGATATCAATACCTCGTGTAGATCTCAACGTAGGTTCCCCAAAAAACAAGTTTTCACCTGAGCCGTCACTTGCTAAGATTCTGGCTTTCCTTTGGCATCTGGCTTAAACATGCTCAAACAAAATACAGTTTAGCCAAATTCATTTGTTTATTGAAACACCATGTAGTAAATCTTGAAGAAATGTTAGCAGATTCTTGCCCATGTACCAAAATGCATGGAAACTAGATAAAAAAACAACAGGCATGTTTGATGCACTTTTGATGCACTTTGCGGTTGTCATTTTTCACACAATTTGTTAATGTTGGATGAATTAGCCAAAACAGACCTAATGTCTTCTCGATTCTTCGGTTTACAAAAAATAAATAAATGTACTAGTTTTGCAGACTTGGGGCAGTGCATGCAAGTCACAGCCAAATTCTAATGATTCTGCAACAACACCACATGCAAAAAAATAACAAAAATAATGAAAATAACTAACAACACTAATATAATTTTACAGTAAGTAGAAAACCAATCCAAAAAATTAGATGACAAAAGAACATTTCGTATCTTTTAAGTAAATAACTCAAATTTACGTAAATTTAGCTCTACCTGAATTTACTGCAGAAGTAATAGCTTCCGTCCTGTCTCCTAAACAAAACATATTTCACAAGTGAAAAAACAAAACATAACATAGATGTATTAGCAACCATTACATGCAAATCATAGCAACATGGTGATTTTGTACCAACAAAATTATGCAAAAACTACAACAAAACTACCTTTCCGGATGCTGACTTTCTTTCCAAGCGGAAGGCTCGCTTCAAGGGACTACTAGATCGTTTCAACTCGGTGTGTGGTGCAGCATGTGCCGCCAATGCATTCCTGGTTTTTGAATGGGAAGTGGTTCATCTGGTTTTTTAACTGTCTTAATTCTGGCAACATTTGGGCCTTTGGATGGTTATATATGTAGTTTCAAGATGGTTATGTAGGCACACAACGGACCAGAGCGCTTGGGAGAGATTGTGAGAGGATTGTGAGCAATTGGGGATGAGCGATTCTACAACCTGACTCCAAGGGTTCCAAGGGTTCCATGGTCCATCTGCCAGGCAGTGGAAAAGTCGGAGTCAATACGCAGACGGAGGTTTGGGGTGTGACGGGATGAGCAGATCTTGCTTCTTGATCGTTCCCAAATTTGGGGCAAGGTCGCTGGTGAATCATATCAAATTGAAAAACAACTCCACTTTGCCGGCAACACCGCCTCGTCATTCCTGCCGTTTCACGATGTTTCACTGACATGTGCTCTAGGCAACTGGCTCAGCATTTCCAAAACTGGGGGTACCCCTTTATCGCTGGATGGTTTAGAATGGAAAATCCTTTTGAAATGGATGATTGAAGGGTACACCCATTTTAGGACCCCCCCAGTTGATTCAGTTTATTCAATGACTTCTTGTCGCTTTCTTTGTGTAGCGGCTACATCCCAATTCGCCAATCTGGGCAGAGCGGCCGTGGTCGGGTCACTCTTCGGCCGACTGCTTCTGGCCTGTCGCAAGAGGCATCAAACCTTAAGCGTATTGTTGCGAGGCAGACTGCGTGAAGCAAAGGACTTCTGACAGGCGCTTGGGACATCGACAGTGGCAGATCAAACGTCCGCCATACGAAAATCAGCAATTCTATGCATATCTAGTTTAGGTCTTATAGGCTACAAGATGGGGAAGTGCATCTACGAACTGAATGTATAGATTGTATAGATGTGTAGACACTGTACAGATGTACTTGCAGTATATCCCTGGCCAGCTTCAGACTTGCAGTGGACTTGAAGTGGCCTCCAGCCAGGCGCTCCATCGACAACGCCACATCCAAGGAACGAAATGATAACAAAGAGGCCGGCTCCTTTGCATGTTTTACATGTGAAAGAGCTGCTGATTGCCCGGTTTCCCCGTTTTCTTGCTTCCAAAGTGGACAAATGGGCAGCAATACGCAACAACCCTTAGCAAATGTCCTTTGTTCCGGGTGTTTTTGAACCGACCAGCTCTAGATTTGTGGAGGTTCTTCCGTTTTGCCGAAAGCTACTCACAGAGTGGTTGTTAAGCTTCAGATGTGCATGTCTTCGACAAAAAATATTGACGGAATGTCTGGCGGGTGTATTCTGGACCGCTCTCAAGAGTCGGGGTAGAGTCCAACGTGTGCATTGACGTTGGCTCTGAATAAGTAGTTGACCAGCTCTAGGGATCGAATGAACAGGTTTGACATTGTTTGATCCTTGACAGCGTTTTTGTGCATTGTGGAAAGTAGTGATACAGTGTCCTGGCCATGAGTTGATGTTCTGGTGTATTGCACACACACAGAGTGCAGGTAAAGGACAGTGCCAACTTGGGTCGTGACCTCGAAGTTGCCTTGATTCATCTTGATTCATCTTGATTCATCTTGATTCATCTTGATTCTTTCAGACTTTGAGCAAAGAAACTTATTGGACTTTCGTCCTTTTAAGGTTTGCTACTTCGAGCGTCCTTGGGCATGACAAAGGCACCGGGAGGGCTCATGGCACTGTACAAATTTCCTGGCTTTCTGAGTCATGTCGGGTAATGTTTCGGGCGCATGTGCTGAAAAATGTCCCCTTTCGATCCAAACACGCCTCTTTTCTCTTGGATGATTTTGCCTCTTGGAACTTCCTATACTATGGTCCTATAGCGATCACCTCAAATTCGGTTTTTCGGTTTGACAATCAGAGTGAAGCTGGGCGATCGATGCAGAATTGTTTGTCAGGTCTGCCGCTGATCCAAACACGGCGCTGGCGTGACCCAAGACTTATCTTGATGGAGGTGACGACATTGCAGCTGAAGTGGCCCTGGATCTATGTGGCTATGGCATGCTATGGCCACACCGATGTACTGTTCAAGCCAAGCAAGGCAGCTGAAGCACAGTTTCGTCCGACGCTCGCCTCAGATCCCTGTTCTGTTCTGTCGGATGGTCGACGTGATGATGCTTGCATGATGCTTGCATGATGCTTGCTTCGCCATGATCAAACTTGGTTTCGAGAGTGGCACTATTGCCATTGCAGTGGGCGACCACTTCTTCAACAGTGCTGCAGATGGGAGCAATTCGCAAGAAGAATGCGCAGCAACATGCGCATTTATTCCTCTGTGCCATAAAGCCTTTCCCAACGACATAACCTGTTGTGGATTTAAGAAAAGAATGTGCCGGCAGCATTGGATGAATTTTTCGGAAATAGATATCCACACTTGGCGACGAGCTACTGCGTAGATTGGTGCCCCAAAAAGTTCTGTGCGGCAGTTGCCATCTGATGTAGCGCTTCGGCTCCAGTAACTGGGTTCCCCGGGGTTCCCGGTATGGCGCCGTTAAGGTTCGGTGGGCCCCAACTCGTGACAGGTAGATTTCCAACGCCAAGGAGATAGACTCTATCCAACTATCCAATTTTCGGATGTATATAGACTATAGATGATAAAATTCCATAAAATTCTAGGCCATAATATTATGATAATTGTTTCGAAGCGTGAGGGGCCCTGGCTTGCTAGGCGGCAGAATTTGGTCTGGATGATTTGAATGGAGCTCGAATTTCCATCAACATCATCAACATGTTGGACCCTGAGCACCACTTTCGTGTCATGCTTGGCACGCAACATTTCCGGGGTCAAATGCCAACCCGATGCCAACAACATCATCAGCTGCCAGGCAAGAGGTTCCGGCCCAGCTATCATGTATCACCAAAAAGTGGTTGGGAAAGAACATGCCACTGGCAAGAGGTGGGCCCATGTTCTTTGGTGGGCCCTATTTATGTTATGGTTTCATTATAATTTTTATTATAGGTGGGCCCTTTTTATTATGCATGTCTATATATACTATATATACAATTTCTATTATGCATGTCTATATATCTATAATTTCTATATAATTTCTATATATTTCTATATATATATATATTTCTATATATTTCTATAATGTTAACATGCCACTGGCAGTTTTAAGCCACGGCCCAGCCATGTGAATAGAAACAAAAGGCCATCCAACTGGGATTATAACAGCACGATGAATCCTCTGAATCCACACTCAATATAATTATATATATATATACACATGTAATGTGATATAATATAATGTAATATAATATAATATTATATTATATAATTTTCTATCATATCTTATTATATTATATTATATTATATATACACGCACACACACACATATATAATTTGAGTCTTGACCAGTGCTGCCAGTGCTGCGACAGAGGTCTCGCTTGGTCCATCAAAGAACTGAAGGCGATCCGGTGTCTCCAAGAACTCCAAGTCCGACCGGCAGATTGATTGGTGGAAGGTAGTTGATAGCATGTTAACAGCATATGTTGTAAAAAAACATGTCAAAAACTCATAAACTCATAATGCGCCCGATGTATATTATGGCACATGGCGGAGTTGGTTGAGCGGCTTGTCCTTCGCTGGGTCCCAGGAGTCCCCGGCCTTGGGCCATGTTAGTTGATCAGCCAGGTGGCTTGGGCCTCGGTTCATATCCAAACAGCCAGGGTGTATTCACTGCGAGCCGTACCTTGCACCAACCAGCCTGGAAAGGATGTATTTATTCATTCACTGGGAGCCGTTTTGGCCAGCCTGGAACCATGAGCTTTGCAGATGCGGCTGAAACCATGGAGCTCCTATGTTTGGTGCTGGGCGTTTGGGTCTTGTGGCTCGTTTGGGCGATCCAAACGTGGTGGCTTCATTTCTCGAAACGACTTCCGCGCTCCGACCCCTCATGTCCCAGTCGTGGGCCCCGGCCCAAGCTAGGGCAGAAGCCCTCAGCCCTGAATTTTGGGTCTGCATTGCCTGCACTGCCAGTCGCTGCGCCTGAGACACCGGAAACCTTCACTTTGCCTGGGGCAACCCATGGTGCCAACGACACTGCGCAGGCGGATCACACCATGGGGCAAGCCTTCCGATCAAGAGCCTTGGGTGGTTCCCAGAGGATGATGGAGAAGAAGCGCTGCCCAGTGCTTCTGGGGTCCAGCCCTTTGGGGAAGAGCCTGCAGAGCTGCCCAGTGGGGCCAGTGGGGAGTTCGGTGCCGGTGCCCTTGGATATGAATCATGTCTCTCTAGGACTCTGGCAATACCTTTGGGCAGCCCATGCAATTGCCATACCGGCTATTGCCTTGGTGATGTTGGGATGGTGCCAAATCCAACTGTCTCGGCTCCTGAAGCTGCTTGGCTTGCTCCCTGAGGCTTCAGAGATAGATCTGCGGCGCATGATCTACCACCTAGTGTTGGAGAACTTGTGCACCGGAGTTGCTGACATTGAAGGCACTGAAGCGGGCAAGGTGGCCACCTTCGTCTTCAGCCCTTTTCCGCTCTACCTAGACCAAAAGTCTCAGGTGTTGAGTCATGTGAAGACCAGCATGGTGGTCAAATTGAATCTTAGCCGGGAAGGCTTTGTGCATGCTGAGCTTGATGGAGATATTTGCAGCCTGACTGATGCTGCAGTGTTACTGGCCCACTACGTGACCAACGTGAATCATCCCAGGATGCATGCCTATGCCAACTGGGCCATCGACCCGGCAGACCATAGCAACCGATACCTGCAGAAAATGAGTGTGGTGACGACGTGCTACAATCATTATGGGTGCACCAACTTCCCGCAGATGGCCAGCAACATGGTGCATCAGGGTGCAGGGCCTGCCTTTGAAGCATGCCTCAAGGAGTCTCTGAGGAGTGGTGTTCCCGAGCACAAGCAAGTCTTGGCTCTGGGAGAACATTCCAAGCTCTTGAACTTCATGTTGAGGCTACCGAAATCAAGCAGGCATTCAGTGCAGAGAGGATTTCCCAGCCAGCTACAGTTGTGAATCCCACTTTTTGGGGACTGTCGTACACTCCTTGGACCATTATGTGTTTTGCTTTGGACCATCAACCCTTGGGTCTTCAGTGGACTCAAACCCTCCAAGGAGTACCAGACCTGGACCACAGCACGGTGCTGCTCGCTGCTGTGCCCTGGACGACAACACCCAACGGTGGGCCTTTAAAACAGTACTTCAAGGATACGGTGGGCCATGCTTGTTGACTTTTCACTTTCCCAATAACAAATCCCATATTTTATCCCATTTTATCCCATTTTCATTAATATTCTTATGGAGTGTATGACATTATGAGGACTATGTGTTTTCTCTTTTTTGGGTGCCCATTTTTGCAAATCCAAGGACGGCAAAATTCAGTTCCACAGGATGGTTTACTCTGCTGCTTCCAGGATCTGGATGAGACCTTCGCAGACGAAATTCAGACGTGCATTGTGAAGTGATGCGCATTGAAATTCAGATTGTTCAGTTGCGTATTGTTGCGTATTGAATTTGGCCAATTCTCAATCTGCTTTGTCACGAAATTGGCTGGACATTTGTGTCCCAAATTCGTGCTTAGTTTGTAGGCGATTACTGTACCAGCCACGTGTATAGGTTATCAATTCGCTGGATTTTTTCGTTTTTGATCATTTTTGTCCCAATTTTGTGCTAAGCTTGCAGGAGCCAAGCTCGCGCAATTGTCAACTTGTTCTGATTTGATGCGGGACCTGTGCACTTTTCTGGATCTTGCCAGACCGAGTATCAGTGCAAGTTTTAGAGCTGAGCTTGGGGTGATCGCGGCGCCCATGTGTGATCCCTGACAGGGGCCTTTGCTCGCGAGATTCAACGCAAAGTTGGCACGTTGCCCCTTTCGGTTGGCGTGATCCCATGAGTCTTGTAGCTAAGTAACGTGTTGATCCGAGGGATCCATCCTTAGATGACTGGACTACAACTGATGGATCAATCACTAAACATATGTAGTCTACATATGGGTTTGTCTGAAAATAGTGTATATTCCCAATGAAATAGCCATTTTTCATAGGGATAATGATCAGCAAAACCATTGGGTTTAGGGGTGTTCCCTATTTTCAGACAAACCCATATGTAGTCAGAAATATGTCTATATGTCTACATATACGGTAGTTTTAAGCATCAACGTATAGACAGAAAACCTGTCGGAGCTTCTGAACATGCCATCTGCCCACTTCGGCGCGAGAGGAGGCCCCCATTGAACTGGCAGCCGAGCCAAATGAATTTGGGGGGAACCGATTCAGATCTATATATATTTAGATAGGTTTAGACACATTTAGTTAAATATATTTATCAAATATATCTAGATATACTTAAATATATTTATTAAATATATCTAAATATATTTAGATCTGATTTTTCTGGTGATTGATTGTTTTTAGTGTATTGCATACTATCCTGCGTCTGCTTCACAGCGATAGTTAAAATTCGTGAAACCGGTCAGACCAGCGGCGCACCTGAAGGCCACTTTTTTACACCCATCGGCGTGACATTTCTAGGACAAATCACGGCGAGAACATGGGCACTGCATGGCTGGTTCAAAGACCTTTGTTTGATTTGTAAAGATTTGTTTCCCAGAAATCCTAGGAAAAGGCGAAGTCTGCACACATCCGGAAATTTCTTCAGGGCAGGTCGAAATGCAGACGGTCGAATCGTTCCCTGGATTCACCCTGACAGATTCATGGACATGTGCCGTAGAAAAGACTTGACTCGGGGTTGTGAAACCTTTCGGGTGTCATAGGTCTAACCTGGATCGTCAAGACCATAGTATGAAAGCTGGTATGATCATACGTTTCCGTACCCAGAATTTTTTTTTGGATCGTACCACATTCTGGGAACCGGGAAACCCATGGGTGAAGTTGCGCAGTTTGTCACTGGCGAGGCTATCTGTCTCCAAGGCGCAAACCTAAGATGCAGTGCAATACAGTGAGCCATGAAACTTAAAATTGGCTCTATCAGTATCCCACTATTAAAATCTATTAAACCTTATCAATGGGAACTTCTGTGGCTGGTGTTTCCTCAAGATAGGCAAAAGAAGCAGCCTTTTCGCCTTTTCCATTCCTGACATGTTGGAGCTTTGGAGACCTAGACTACTTGCCACCACTGTGTCTTTGTGTGGTTTCAGTCGTACAACTCAGCTTAAAATTTTAATAGTTTGAAGCTTCACAAAAGTCTTCCGACTTGGTGAGCGCAGCTCAGAAACCAAGGCGCATGGATTGCGGCAGCCTACCACACGCGCCAGTAGAGGTCAGCTCGTGTTGCTGCATGTCTTAAATGAAAGGGCACATGTATAGGTGCTTCGTCCCTTTCGATGGAGTCTTAAAGCTCGGCGATTTCGAGTTGTCCATCAGTGTGATAGGACTTCCCGTCCTGGAAGAGCGTGGAAACCAAGCATCAAGGACTGGGATTCGTATGACTGATGGGATCTATCTATCTATATGTATTATATATATAATATAATATATATAATACACACATATATATATATATAATGTATATATATATATATATTTGTAGGATATTTGAAGATGTAACGTATTGTAGCCATTTAGCAGTGGCTTCCCTTTTGAAGGGTTCTCTCAAGTGGTTGTGGTGCTTACGTTGATGTTTACGCTTTTCATTGTCTTCGAATTGTTGGTTTGGTCTTTTCTCAAGACTGAAGTGTTTGCATTCTGCTGTGTTACTCACTTTGACATGAAACCCAACCCACTCAAACAACACATTGAGAACAAAGCAGCCACATGTCATGTTTGCACAAGAATGTGTTCGTCAACCGTGTGTTGATGTAGGAAGACTGCAATTAATTCGTGCCGCTGGACAGCGCAAAGCATTCGCTGCCTCATGTCGGTTTCTGTGGATATTTCTGGACATGGTTGCTTTGATATCAAACTGACTGCTTCGAGCACCGCTGCTGACATTATTTTACTGCTACGTGAGCGTTTGCCAGACAGCCCATGGCATGGGAACAAGTTGCTGTCAAGTGGGGTCTGCCAGCTACAGTGCGATGACATTGTGGAGGCAACCCGCCACAGCACTTTAGTCTTGACAAACTACTCAGAGATCACCAACCAGGAGAGAAACCTGCAGCTTTGTTTCTTTTTTCAATAGGTAATGCAGACCATGCCAGGTCCTCCGCAGCCAGTAGCAAATCACGATTAGAAACTAAATGCCAACAAGTACCAATTGCGACAAGTGCAGCAGTGTGATGGACCCATTCATTTTTTTTTGTTTTGGGATTCAGTGGTTTAAACGCATTTCGAACGTGGCTTGTGAGATCTACTTGATAGTGGGGGAACAGTCGGCCACTGAACAGGCGCCTTTGCGCATTGAGACCATGTGAAAGAAAGGCAATATAACCGATAGGATCAAATCGAATAAAGAGAAACCGGAAACCGTATTTAAAAGTCAATCGTTTGAAATTCAGAGATTGCAGGCCCATGATTCCCATGATTGCACCTTTTTGAGGGTACTGCATAATGCTTTTTGAATTCCATTCCAATTTCATTTGCTGCATTTGTTGGTCGCCCCACACACGGCAGAGGAGACTTTCTGCATCAAAGATACTGCAGAGCGAGGGATCACTCGCGAGCAATTGGCAAAGATCGTTGTTTTCATCTCCAAGATGGCTGACAGATGGTGCGAAACGTTCGGAGAACAGCGTGGGACAAGGCTGCAGTTTGAGACCTTCAACTTGTATCAAGCGAATCATTGGATCATCAAACCAGCCACCGAAGCCTGGATTTGTTGATGATGTGACAGCATTTTCCAATTTGAAGAATCTACCGTTTTTCTTTTTTTAATTGGCCCCATTATGCAGAATCCCAGGAGGGCTATGCGAAAAAGGGCTGCAGCATGGTTGAGATCATGGCGATTCAAGTGCAGAGACCTCACTGGTTTGTGTCACATGCTTGGATCGAGCCTTGGATAGGCAAACTCTCAAGGTTGTTTGAGACCGTGCTATTGCATTGTCTGTCAGCAACAAATTTCTTTTTCTGCTAATAATTCACATTCCCCTAGGAGCCTTGGTTGAGTTTTGGACTTCATGTCGGACCATCAATAGGACGCTGTATCAAGTATCAAAAAGAAATGAACATCGAGCGTAATGATAGATGAAAGTCAATCTATTGCTTTGAAGCACGTCCAATTTTGTGTTGGGCAGATCTGTGAGGAGCCTGTTTGTAAGTTTCTGGCCTGCTTGGAGCAGCATGCTCTGGTGCGAGAACTCTCAAGCAGTACATTCTATTGGGTTTGTGCATATGATATCAAAAGCAACCCACGCAGCACTTCATTCTACAGAGCTATGCAGATGTCTGAGGGAGTTCTTTTGGTGCTGGATTCAGCTGGAACGCCTTTCGAGTTGATGCGGCAGTTCAGGCTGCTGCCAAACCTGGAATCGTTTCCTTGAGTGCTTGGGCTCGTGAAGTCCAAGATGCCATTGCATGGAGTAGTTTTGCGCTTGCAAGACAGAAACAAGCTTTGCTCGACTTGCGGAGTCATGTCGAGCCATCAGCCTCTGGCTAGCTGACTCGTCGAGTTCCTTAGAAATCTCTCGCGCTCTGGCGCCCCGAAAGCTGCCTCCAGCCACTCACCCCGGTGGGCCCAGGCTGTGGCAGCGTTACAATTGCCCAACAACAACAACAATGGAACGCCTTTGGCGAGCCGTGGCTTGGGCTGCAGCAGTTTGGCGTCTGCAGAGGCTACGGACTTTACCTTTTTGGCAAGTCGTACTTGATCAACAAACATTCCTTGCGGAATGCTAGCTGGCGCACTGTGTTTACTTCTTTTTTATTTCAGGCAGGTTTCGCTTCCTTTGAGTTTTGCTTGGAGAAGTATGGGAACTTGATTCTCGCAGATGGCATACTATGGCGTCTTAACTACTTCACTTCGGTGAGGAGCAGGTTGACGTCCGCTTACAACAACAACAACAACAACAACAACGAACGCCTTTCGAAACTCAGCCCCCGCAGAATACTTCGAAACCACATCCTAAGCAAAAGGCGGACGTCCAAAAACAGCCACACACAGAGCAGCAGCCCCACAAAACGCCCAAGACCTTTGCTGAAGTGGTTCGAGCCAACACTGCGTTTAAGCCGGTGTGGAGCCTGCGTCAGTCAGACTGGACGGGGCCCATTTTGGGCTTTGATGACTTTTGTGTCGCACTGGATAAGCCTGGAAATATTTCAGCTACAGTGCAAGTGAACTCGGAAGAGCAACTTGAGGAGTTGCAGGTTTTGCTGAAAGGCGATTCCCCTGATATCAAAAGAGAGCTCAACATCACAGCTGTGATGCTAGCGCCGAAAGAGGCCAATCAGACTGAGGAGGATCGACCTTTGCGGATGGTGCCAGGAAAGATCTCGGGCAAGGTGCAGCTCAGGCAGGCGTTTGTGATCCCACTTCAAGGCCAAGGGCCATCACTCAAGAGAGCTGCCGTTGTGTCAGCGGCTCCTGCAGTGCAGCCTGAAACTGTTGTAGTGAGATTAAGTGTTGATGCAAAATATTTGCAAAACAACGAGTGGCAGAGCATCCAGGCCAAGCCAAAGGCAAACGCGCAGGCTTGGTTGCATCGGCATGTTCCAGAGCATGTTGCGGACAAAGTCTTTGATATGTGGGCGTTTCAGCAAGAAAGCATGAAAGGTGGAGGCAAGCCAGTGATCACTGGCCTTTTACGCATTGAGCGAAGTGCTGCCAAAGCTCTTCTAGGCTGCTCAGGCAAAAGTACCTGGTTTGTGGACCCTTTGCAATGGAACAACTCCGTGATTGAATCTTGCGATGTTGAGTGGGTCAAGAAAAGTTCGGAACTTGATGGGCCCAGCTACTTGCAGAAGGTTCAGTCCATGGCTGGTGACCTGGGCATTGCCCGGGGATGGAATGGACTGGGAGTACGTAAGCCCAGGAGCGCCGAGCC